TTTAACTACCTGCCACTGTTGCAGATTTTCTTGCCACTGTTGTTGTCTCTCTTCTTGTTTCTTTTCTTTTTCCTCCAACCAGTGCTGTAATCTCTCTTCTTGTTTATTTTGTTGTTCGAGCTGCCACTGTTGCAGATTTTCTTGCCACTGTTGTTGTCTCTCTTCTTGTTTCTTTTCTTTTTCCTCCAACCAGTGCTGTAATCTCTCTTCTCGTTCTTCTTGTTTCTTTTGCTGTTCTTGTATTGCAGCCATCAAGTCTGCTATGCTGTAGTTTGATTTGCCGCTTCTCGTTTTTTTGTCCCACTCTCTGACACCAATTTGTTACGTCTCCGTTTGTTAATTGATTTCCCGTAAATTCGTTCCGACGAAACTTTAGCGACACAAGTCCTTACTTAATAAAACTGGTTTATTCTTTCCGAATAGAACTTTACGATACACTTAATTTCAACAATCGCGCTAAAACAAACGCTATGACAACGAACGTGCTCAACTTTAATAATACTCTCTGACTGCAGATCAATTACTCACTGTCTACACACACATTATTGCGTCACGCCGTCACCCTCTTATATATATACCAGACTACCCTATATCTAGTAATCTCCCGACAATTCACGACGGTACAAGATATTTCCAGAAAGCAGGGGCGTGACCTCGCTGACGCAACAATATGAATAAAGGCACACACATGTAAGAGCCACTACCACTGAGTGGACCGACATCCCTTTAAATAAAGTACTTATATATATATATATATATTTTCATTTATGAATTTATAATCCTATGTAGAATATATTGTTACGTCTCTGTTCGTTAGTTAATTTTCCGTATAATTTCTTTCCGAAGAAACTTTAGCGATACAAGTCCTTTCTTAAATAAAACTGGTTTATTCTTTCTAAATACAACTTTGCAATACACTTAATTTCCACAGTCACGCTATAACAAACGCTTTAACTCACAACGAACGACTCACGTGCTCGACTCAATCGTCAATCTCTGTCTGCAGTTCAATTACATTACATTGTTGCCGTCACTTCTTACCGGTCTTATATATACAAGAATACCGCATATCTAGTAACCTCTCGAGGCTTCAGGAAGGGACGTGAACGTTCTAGAATATGACGTGTTACTAGCGTCACGTGACCCCTGCTGTCGTAACAATATATATTTTTAATATATTTGTTCATGAATAAACATGACTTCATATAGAAACTGTTTGTTTTTACGCAAGTTAAAAGTTGAGGTTTTGCGCATTCTGTGTTTGCAGTTTAGCACAAAGGTACACAAAACACGGGTATCAAAACCTGGATCTTAACATTATAAGCCTTCGGACTTACTGCTGAGCCACTGGCGTGCTTTACGTATACAAGATCACACTTGTAACTTGTACACAAAATGAAGGACAGATTGCGACCTAATGGTTAGTGTGCCGGAGTAGAATTAAAGTTCATTGATTCGAGTTCTGCTAATGTTAAAAAAATACAGCTGAATCTTATTATTTGATCTGACAAGAGTTGGGCTGGATGGTATTAACTAACTTCCATCCCTCTAATTTAGTTCAAAATTAGGGACGGCTAGCGCAAATTGTCCTTTTGTAGCTTTGAGCGAAATCAACAAACAAAATGAACAATTTAAACTTTGTTTTCATGCACAATAAAACGGAATATTTTACAGTAGGATCCCCCTGTGGGTCAGCAGTAAGTTTATGGATTTATTGCTGACCCGCTGCGGCTGTAATAGATTTAATGTTTTTTGGCGTACGAAGTGATCATTCTTGTACTTACGGCTAAATAATTACTGACTGTTCTATGAACAATTTAAATAGCTGTTTTGTGTATGCTTGTCTGTAATTTTCATAAGTTTTAAGTCATATGTGATTATAAAAATTAATTAAATGGGTTTTACTGGTATTAAAACAAAGTGCTCGAAATTCATAAGTAAAGCGTTCCGATTAAAATAGGGCTACTTTCAATTTCAACTTTCAAGTGTATTAGTTGATTTTCCGGGATTTTTATGCACAGCGCCAGGTGAGTGAAGACTGTTTCGAGAGTATATCTGTTTTCCTAAGCCTAAGGTTATGATAGCGTTGTTGTAGATTTTATCATAGTATTAATCGATTCTTGTTTGTTTAAAACTTATAAAAGTAAATTATCTTTGATAAAATTAAGATGGCTGCGACTGGTACTACACCTAAAAAGATCAGGAAGGTTGATGGATCTAGTTCTGGAGATGCAGATGAAAACAGAGATTTCGACCCGGAAACTCAAAAATCGTTAGAAGAGATCGACGCCTGTCAGAACGAAATTGACGCTTTGAATGAAAAAGCAAGCGAAGAAATTCTTAAAGTTGAACAGAAATATAACAAGTTAAGAAAGCCATTCTTTGAGAAAAGGAACGATCTAATTAAGAAGATTCCAAACTTTTGGGTTACAGCTGTATCCTTTTTAAGTTCTTTGAAAAGTATTTTTCAAATAATAAACCAACGTCTCGATAGTACAATTAAATTAGGCCTAACATTAGGCCTACTGCAGGTTAAATGTGCACCATCATGACTCATTAGGATATAAGTTATTTCCACGAGACGATTTTTGTATCAATAGTGTTAGTTGTATCGATATGGCAAGTTAAGAATCTGTGAAGCCTGATGGTCAGTGCCTTGTAAGTTTTAAAGTGTTGGGATTATTAACATTTTATGAAAGAGGCTAATGTTATGACTTAATAATTGTAGTTTGAGGACAAAAAAAAAAGGCTATAAAACTACTAAGAGTAAGGTACTGGAAGATTGGAAGCACCTAGTAACACTAATATAGTAGTTTTATATTAGGTGCATAAAAAATATCATGCTTATTTAAAACCCAACCCATTATTTAGTAGACATGGATGCCTGTAAGAGGTGGCATCCTCCCCTCCCCCCTCTTACATTTCACAAAAAATTTCACATATTATGTTGTAAACTTAACATTGTAGTTAAAGTAAGTATTTTTAGTAATTTTTATTAAAACTGTAAATTTGTGTTTGCGTGTAAGATTATTTAGGGTAGTGTTCAGTATTTTATTCTTTTATTATAGAAAATATATTAGTTTGATTCTAAAATCAGAGATTAGCTACTATACCAAACTAATTTTCAGTTTGATTAATATAAGTTACGAAGAGGGATTAGCAGATTTTTTTGTTTTCTCTAGAATGTGAAGAATTACAAAGATAGACAATATGTAAGAAATCATGTAAGCCCATAATCATAATGGGATAATTGAAAAAATTTACAGAGTACTGTAGCAGCATGTAGCTGTCATTGCTGTCTCAGGTAGACATAGTCTAAGAGAAAATGTTGCACCAAGTTGCTTGAATTTGAGAAAAACATTCAAATTACTATTTTTTGTAAAGAAAATATTTTAATATTGTACTTAGTGTTAGGTCATCAAGAAATTGTCACTTTTTTTTTTAGATAAAAAAACCTGAACAGCTTATATATCAAGACAAAACATTTATTAAATGAAATAGTCTCCATTCTTATCTGATGCTTTTCCATCTTACAATCAGGTTGTTTT